CCCCGCCCACCGACAACTTGTGGTCACTGCCCCCGCCCACCAACAACTTGTGGTCACCACCCCTACCCGCCCACCAATGTCGCGGTCACCGCCCCTGCCCAGCCCCCCCATCTGGCAGGTTCTCCTCTTCTCCCATTGGAGCCCCTCACACCCACCCTGCTCCCCTCCCCTCCCACCTAGCCCCAGTACCACACCCCATGTACCACCCACCCCGCATGGGGTCCCTACCAGCCCTCCTGCTCCCCCCCATTCTCATCCCTCCCTGCCCCCTTCCAAGTCCCCTGCCCAGCTCTTCCTTGCCTGGTCTGCCCTATTCACCTGAAGCTCACCTGCCCGTTTCCCGGCCCCAATGCCCACCCCGTCCCCCCCATCCCCACCCCCTTACCATCTGCTCGGTGAAGACAGGCATGTCAGGAGGGGTCCCCTGCGGAGAGAGGAGGGGTGCCTGAGCCCAGGTCCCTGGCGGGTGGGCAGGGACGGGGTGCCCACAGCCTTGGGGCTCACCTTCTCGGTCAGGTTGTAGATGACGCGGGTCAGGGCCTCCGCGATGATCCTTGTGTTCCGCGTTAGCGTTTTAGAGTCCACCCGGGACCTGCAGGGGAAGACAAAAAACGTGTCTTTTATAACCAGTATTACTTACTAGGAAAAAAAAAAAAATCAACCACACCCCTTGCCGTCGAGTAGATTCTGACTCATAGTGAACTTATAGGACAGAGTAGAACTTCCCCATACAGTTTCCACTGAGCGGCTGGTGGATTCCAACTCCTGACCTTTTGGTTAGCGGCTGAGCTCTTAACCTCTACACCACCAGAGCTCTGGTATAATAATAATACAATCACATTATATATTTTCTTAAACGGCATCATTTATAGTAACACAATACTATAATACAGGTAGCCCCTGGGTTATGAATGTCCGACTTACCTACAACCTAACCCGTAGTCACGAACCAACCCAGTAAGGCTTATTATATTAAAAATTTGAGGTATATGCAATTGTTTGTAATAACAAACGGACATTACTTTGTGATGTCCCTCAAAACGTTGTTATTACTGTATTATGACATTAAAGATGCTTTAGTGTATCTGGATGTGTTTCTTTACCATCTGTTATGCAAAGAAGTACACTGCATACTATATACAAAGACAGACGTTTGACTGACGTTAGATACGAACCGTACCTAACTGGCCTCGCGTACAAATTCGACTTGAAGGCAAACTTAGGAATGAAACTCGGTGGTAATCCGAGGACTCCTGTATCTGACACCATAGTCCTCATGGGAGAAGAACCCTGGACTCAAGGGCAGTGGGCAGCAGGCCCTGGTGGTCGCCCACGGGCCTCTGGGATCCAGGAGGGACATGGAAAAGGAACACAGCAGGTGGGTGGGGGTGTAGGGTTGCCAGACAAGATGCAGGGTGCCCAGTTCATTTTGAACTTCAGACAAACAACGAGCACATTTTCAGTATAATTATAACCCACACACATCTAGGATATACTTACACTTAAAAAAAATTAAAAAAAAAAAAATGTATCTGAAATTCAAATTCATCTGAGTGTCCTGTACTTTTCTAAACTGGGTTTTATTTAAACCCATAAAAGAGGCCCTTTGAGGGCAAAACCTCACCATGCAAGTGGGTGCAAGACGCAGAGGCCTTCAGGGAGTCGACTGAGTGGGTGGGGGTGCTGGAGGCAGCAGCCTGGAATGCCTATGGGGACTGGTCCAGGTTGGCTCTCCAGCCCCTGGCCCCCGTGCCCTCACAGCTCCCTCTGCCTGGGACATTTATCCCCTGGTTCATGTCCTCAGTGCCAATGCCGCCTCCTCTAGGCAGCCCTCTTGGGCACCCTGACACCCCCCAGCTGCCTTTCCCCTGAAAACACCCCATCTTGCTCTCACGCTGACAGAAGGTGCTCCCCAGATCTCACCCAAGATCTGCCTCACTCTCCCCCAGACTGAGTCCAGTGGCTGCAGGGGCAGGGCCTCACCGCACGTCCATGATGCTGCTGCGCTGGCCATTGCGGTGGCTCTCCAGGTGTGAGAGGGTGAAGGCGGGCAGGCGGCGGATGGCGAAGCGCTCGTGCTCCCAGGCCAGCGTGTCCTCTGCCAGGTTGATCTTCTTGTGCACCATGGAGAACCGTACCTCTGGGAACTGGTGGGTGGTCACCTGCAGCAGGGTGGGGGGTGGGGGGGCTGTCAAGGCTCCTGGAGCCAAGCTCCTCGGAGAGGTGGCCCCTCGGGCCCAACCCCACACTGACTCGCTCCGCTGTCGTCCACCCCGGGCCCTGGGAGCCACAGGGAACAGGTTCGTGGGCCTGGCTGGGCCCAAGTCACCGGGGCTCTGGCGTGTCCCACACATCCCGTGTCTGAAGATTTGGGACATACATTTACATCCCGGAACTCGAGCTGAGGAGGGCGCAGGGCCAGGGGCGAGCAGTTACTGCTCTCGGGGACGGGTGGGAGCCACATCCAGACACGGGGGGTGGCGGGGGGCAGGGGGAGGGTGGCGGCGGAGTGAGAGCTGGGGTGGGCAGTGAGCATGTTTGGGGACAGGCGGGAGCTACTCCCAGGACGTGGTGGGGCGGGGGGGGGGGAGGGCTGGGCGGAGTGAGAGCCAGGGGCTCTGGGCAGCAGGGGGTTCCCACGAAGGCCCTGCTGCCCCCAGACCCCGCTCCTCCTGGGGCGCCTACCGTGTCGAGCTCCCGGAGGAAAGCGTGCTGCAGCGTGCCCTCCCGGGGGGGCTTGGACACGTGCAGGTGCAAGCTGCTGCCCCGGCCCACGGTGTCCAGGCACAGGACGAAGGCCACGTTGTCCTGGAGCAGGCTGGAATCTGGGGGTGGGGGGTGGGCGGAGCTGGTGAGTGGGGACAGAAGTGGGGGGAGAGAGCCGGGCTGGACTAGAAGGTGCCCTCCCCCTGCAGCCCCTCACCCGTGTGGTCCAGGTTGTCCTCCAGCCAGCGCTTGGTTCCCTGGTAGTTAAACTTGCCCCCTCCGGAAGCAAAGAACAGCAAGTTGTACCTGGCGGGGGAGGACCGGGTGCGTTACTGACAGGTGAGCATCCGGGGCTAAAGGAGAGACAAGGGCCAGGTCGCAGATCCCCATGACGACCAGAAGCTCAGGGAGGACCACCCACCCGAGAACGCCCGAGCAGCCCTTCGGGGCAGGTCTCCCCACTCAACACTGCTGACGCCGGGCCGGAGCCTTCTCCGGGGTGGGGCGCCCTTGGCACTGTAGGGTGCTGGGCAGCATCCCTGGCCTTCACCCACTCGATGCCAGTAACCCCCCGCCCCCCTAGATATAACCACAAATGTCCTCAGACATTGCCCAGTGTCCCCTGGGGGACAGAATTACCCCAGGTGAGGATCCCTGGATTCGGGGATTCCACTGACCCTCAAGAGACTCTGCGTCCCATAATCACCCAACCTGCTGACATCCTAGGATGCTGCCCACATTTAAATCCACATGCTGAGTGGGGAGGAGAACTCAAGTTTTTCCGAATGATTAATGCAGGTCTCTCCCCCTCAGCACTGCTGACACAGGGCCAGGTCATGCTCCCAGATGGGGCCGTCCTGGGAGGGGGCAGGGACGTGGTCTCTGTCTGTCCTTCAGTGTAGCCCTGGCTGCCGTCCAGGGCCGAGGGAAGAGGGACTGCATTCCTTTTATTCTTTACGAGGATAATTCCATTTCATTTTCTGGACGGTTGGCGGCTGTTCATCTCAGTCGGTTGACCCCACCCTCCTGGGTCTGAGGGAGCTCAGAGAATCCTTTTCTGCCCCCAGGGGACACTGTACCATGTCTGGGGTCATTTGTGGTTGTCACAACTGGGGGTGGGGTGCTACTTGCATCGAGTGGGTGGGGGCCAGGGACGCTGCTCAGCACCCTACAGTGCACAAGACGCCCTACCCCAAAGAGGGATCCGGCCCCCATGTCAGCTGTGCCAGGGAGAAGGAGCCCGCTCAAGGCTTGGAGCTGCAGGTCAAAGTGGTGGGAGCTTAGCCCCGGGTCTGGCGCAACAGCAGCCCCCCAAAAAAGAACACCACTGCCTCTGGGGTTGTTACCTCCAGGCCGTTAGGCTCTTATGGGAACGGGCGTGAACGTGCTGCTTGAACACGGGACGCCATCGGTGAGCCGCGCTGCTCCCCGCCACACCCTGCCCATGCGCACTTACGCGGCGTGGGTGCCCCCTGCCCCCAGCAACCCGCCGATGCGCACTGACGCGGTGTGGGTGACCCCCTGCCCCCAGCAGCCCGCCCATGCGCACTGACGCGGCGTGGGTGCCCCCAGCCCCCAGCAACCCGCCCATGCGCACTGATGCGGCGTGGGTGCCCCCTGCCCCCAGCAACCCACCCATGCGCACTTACGCGGCGTGGGTGCGTTTGTAGGTGTAGAGCCTGGAGAAGAGCCGGGCGAGCTCCAGCAGCACGGAGATGCCGCTCCCGTTGGAGTCTGCGCCGTGGGACAGCCACTGCGGACGGGCAAGAGACGGTGGGCTCAACTCACAGCCCGCCACACAAGTGCGGCCTGCCCACACGGTCTAAGGAGCCCTGGTGGCGCGATGGTTCAGTGCCCGGCTGCTGACCGAAAGGCCGGGGGTTTGGCTCCGTGTAAGAAACACCTGGCCACCTGCTCCGTAAAGATGGCAGGCTAGGATACGCTCTGGGGGCAGTTCTACTCTGTCATACGGGGTCGCTGTGAGTCAGAAGTGACTTGCCAGCAAACAAGAAAAAGATGTGGATTACATAAACAAAGCTAATAAACAAACAGAAAGGAGCCCCGGTGGTGCTAACAGTTAAGCGCTCAGCTGCTAACTGAAAGGTTGTCAGCTCGAACCCACCCATGCCCCTCTGCCGGAGAAAGGCCTGGCTGGCGATTTGCTCCTGTAAAGATTACAGCCTTGAAAACCCAATGGGGCCATTCTGCTCTGTCACATGGAGTTGTCATGAGCTGGAATTGATTCGAAGGCACCCAACAACAATATATGCGTATGGCGGAGCCTTGGTGGCCACTTAAGAGCTTGGCTGCTAACCAAAAGTTAGCAGTTCGAATCCACCAGCAGCCCCTTGGAAACCGTATGGGGCAGTTCTACTCTGTCTTACAGGGTTGCTATGTGTTGGAATCACCTGGACGGCAATGGGTTTTTTTTTTTTTTTTTGGTTTGCGCAGTTTGGACTCCCTGGGTGGGGCTGCTGGCCAGGCCAGCCCCCAGCTGGCGTAGGGAATACGGACTTGAGAAGGTCCCCACCATTCCTGGATAAGAGCGGCCCTCTGTGCCTGCACCATTTGTGTGAACAATCTGGTTTCTGCTGCGGCTCTGGAATTCTGGGGCGCGCCAGGCAGAGCCACCTGTGACCCGCCCCCGATGACCACCCCAGGCACTGGGTCTCTAAGAGCTTCCTGGTGGACAGCACTTCACAGGCGTCCTCACACTCCCTGCTGGGAAGGAAGCGCGGCCCATGTGACCCACGGGGAGGAGACTGCGCGCTGTGCCTGGGGTCCCCTGGACCTCACCCTGTGCACCCTTTTCTGATGCTGCTGTGTTCTTTCACTTTGAGTCCTCCTACTAATCACCCAACTGGGGGTGGCCTTGGGGACCCCAATGTAGATGTCCTGGGCTTGATTTGGACCTGGCCACCTGTTTGCCATGGGTTATGGGTTGAATTCTGTCCGTCAAAAAATATGTACTGTAAATCCTAACCCATACGCCTGTGGAAAGGAGCCCTGGAGGAGCAGGAATTAAAGCACTTGGCTGCTAACCAAAAGGTCAATGGTTCAAACTCACCAGCCGCTCCATAGGAGAAAGATGTCTGCTTCTGTAAAGATTACAGCCTTGGAAACCCCAAGGGGAAGTTCTACTCTGCCCTGTAGGGTCCCTACGAGTCAGAAGCGACTCAAGGGCAACAAGTTTATAGGTTTTATACTTGTGGATGTGATCCCACTTGGGAACAGGGTTTTCTCTGATGTTAATAAGACCATATCAGTGTGGGGTATGTCTTAAGGCAATCACTCTGAGATATTATAAAAGGAGATTAGACATCGAAGGGAGCCAGCACTCACTGGGGAAGACAGACACCACATGGAGATGTCCACAGAACTGGAACGCAGAGAAGCTGAGACAAGGACCTCCCCGCAGAGGACAGAGAGAGCCTTCCCCTAGAGCCAGGGCCCTGAATTCAGACTTCTAGCCTCCTGAAGTGTAAGAGAATACACTTCTGTTCTTTAAAGCCAACTATCATGGATTAAATTGTGTCCCCCCAAAAATGTGTGTGTCAGTTTGGCTGGGTCATGATTCCTGGTATTGTGTGATTTTCCTGTATGTTGTAAAACCTGTCTCTGTGATGTTAATGAGGGAGGATGGATGGCAGTTGTGTTAGTGAGGCAGGACTCAATCTACAAGATTGGATTGTGTCCTAGGCAATCTCTTGAGATATAAAAGAGAGAAGTGAGCAGAGAGACAGGGGGACCTCATACCACCAAGAAAGCAGTGCCTGGAGCAGAGCATGTCCTTTGGACCGGGGGTCCCTGTGCAGAGAAGCTACTAGTCCAGGGGAAGACTGATGAGAAGGCTGAGAGAGAGAGAAAGCCTTCCCCTAGAGCCGACGCCCTGAATTTGGACTTCTAGCCTACTTTACTGTGAGAGAATAAGTCTCTCTTTGTCAAAGCCATGCACTCGCGGTCTTTCTGTTAGAGCAGCACTAGATGACTAAGACGCCATCCCTGTGGTCTTAATGTTGCAGCAGCACCAGGAGGCCAGGACACCTGTGGGACCCAAGGCAGGAGACCTGGCCCAGCTCGGCCTCCCTCTCAGCCTGGCGGTGACACCCACCCCCAGGGCCCTGCTGGATCCGAACTCGTTAAGGGCCCGCGTGTGGCGATGCAGCTGTTCAGACCGAAACCACCAGACAGACACACTCGTGAATATGAGCCAGGCTGAGCGTAGCCGAAGGGGGCCGTTGGGAGTCGTGGGGGGTGGGGATACGTACAGGAGCCACTCCGAAGGCGTCATAGTGGGCCACGATGACGATGGTGGGCAGGTCCTCTCCACCCAGCCCGGTCAGCCGCCCCTGCAGGGAGAGTCTGTGAAGGGCCCGCTGGGCCAGGGACGGGCAGACAGGGACGGTCCCTGCCAGCCCCAGACACTGTCACTGCAGGTTCCAGATTGTAGGGAAGCGAGGTTGAGGGCCTTTAGTCCCTCCTCTCTGGGCCACGCCGAGCTGGGTACGGCCTCGCTCCCAACGCCTCTCGTGGCCCCCCACCCCATGGAACTCCCTTGGGGAACAGGGACCCCACCCCTGCTACAGCCCCCAAAGCCCCACCTTTTATATTTTCTATATCAGGGTTCCGTGGAAGGCTGTGTCTGAAAGAGGGGTGTTATATTTTACTAAAAAGAGATACATTGTTTAGACCAAAGATTCTCTAGAAGAATCCTGGTCAAAAGGAGAAAATGCAGAAAAGAATTTCAAATTCTTAAGGAATCCAGACTTTCTGGAGCGATGAAGGCTGGACGAACCCCCAAAACTATTGCTCTGAGATGATCTTTAAACTTTAAACCAATACTAACCCCTGAAGTCTTCTTTAATTAGTAAAGAATGTCTGCCTTGAGCATTATGTTCTTTTACAGAATTATCTCTATGGGATCAAGTTGACAACAGCACCTCGACAGGTTACACAGGAAGCTTAGGGGGCAGTGACATTATGTTAATGGGGGAGGAACAACTCAGATAAGGAGGGTGAGGATGGTGGCATAGCTCGAAGAATGTAATCAATGTCACTGAATTGTACATGGAGAAATCTGAAGTGGTGTATATTTTCACACACACAAAAAATTTATCTAAAGAAAGAGGCTCAAAAAGAACTTCCCTATGGGACAAAGGCCAAACTCCTGCCCCAGCACTCCAGTCCCAACTCTCCCTGCTTCTAACCCTGCCCAGCCCCAGCTCTCAACTCCAGCCCAGGGGTCGGCACACTTTCTGCAAAGCTCCAGACTCAATGTTTTCGACTTTGTAGGCCACATGGTCTCCTTTGCCATGACTCAGCTCTATCATTTTAGTTTGAAAACCGCCATGGACAGTCTGTCCAAACAATGGCGTGGCTGTGTGACAATAAAACTTTATTCGCACACACAGGCTGTCAGCTGTTTAAGGCCTGTGGGGAGAGCTTTCGGTGAGGCAGGAACAGCCTGTGTACAGACCCTAAGGTGGGACAAGGAGGTGCGAGTGGCGGGGCAGCAATTCCGAGCGAGGGTGGCAGGAAATGGGCCAGACGGGCTGGCGGGGCCCAGCCACTGTGCGGGAAGGAATTTGGGTTTTATTTGGAGGCCACAGGAAGCCACTGGAGGGTTTTAAGCAAAGCAGATGCCATGTGATCAGCATGCCCTTGCTAAGAGCTCCCTCTAGTGGGGAATGGGTGGTAAGGCAGCCAGCCCAGTCAGCCAAGCGAGGCCCCCAAAGCATGGCTCCGCCAAGTCTCCTCTGCTCTGGCTGGTCTGGACCCGCGGGGACGAAGGGACCCCCGGGGACAAAGGCAGGCGCCCAGCTCTGGGCCGCGGTCTCACTCACCTCCACGCTGGTGATGAGCCAGTCGCTCACGGCCTTGCTCTGGACCCCGCTGGTGACCATCTGGAAGCCGTTGGCGGTGGCCGTGTGCAGCAGCACTGGGGACACAGAGAGGCGCGTTAGGCCGAGCCCCAGAGGCTCGCGGCATGAGGTGCAAACAGCCCCAAACAGCCCCTCGTGGCAGCTTTAACCTGCACTTCTTTGATTACTTTTAAAAAAAAAAAAACTTCCCATTCCTCCCTTCCCCAAGCCCCTGGCAACCACTGATCCTTCTAAGGACTTGCCTCTTGTAGATACATCATATAAATGAAACCATACGCTATCTGTCCTTCTGTGTCTGACTTACTTCACTCCTGCAAGCAGGTAAAGGACCCCTGGGTGGTGCAAATGGTTCACGCACTTGGCTGCTAAACAAAAGGTTGGACGTTTGAGTACCCCCCACAGGCACCTCAGAAGAAAGGCCTGGCAATCTACTGCCACAGATCAGCCACGGAAAACCCTATGGAGCACATTCTACTCTGATGCACACGGGGTCGCTGGGAGTTGGGGTTGACTTGATGGCAACTGGTTTTTGGTTATTTCGCTCACTGTGTTTCCGACACAGTGGCTGCAACAGCGGGCTCAAACATAACCAGGACTGTGAGGATGGCACAGGACCGGGCAGCGTCTCGTGCTGTTGTACATGGGTCGCCATGAGTCAGAACCGACTCGACGGCACCTGACGATGACCGTGTTTCTGAGGTTCGTCCATGTCGTAGCACGTATCAGAGCTTCATTCCCTTTTACGGCCAAAAAACATTCCGTTCTACGGATGGGCCCATCCAGCGTATCCACTTGTCCTCTGGTAGATCTTTTGTCGCGCCATCTCGCTCCCGACGCTGGCCATCCCTCAGTCCCTCCCCCCACCGGAGGTCCCAGCTCCTAGTCCGTGCCCACTGCCAGTCCGCCAATGCTCTGGGCGAAGGCAATGTTCTCTCTCTCTCAGAATGCTACTGACCCACCCCGACGGCCTTGACCAAGGCGCGCCTCTGAGGTTCTGCATGGCAGGCGGGACGGACACAGAGGGAAACGAATGGATGCCCATGTTTTTATAAACCACACGAGAGGCTGATATAGGACACGTCTCCTTCCGAGTGGTTCTAGAGCATTTGCGTGCACCAGAATCCATGGCAGCTTTGAGAATGCAGGGTGCGGGGCCTGGGCCCAGAGGTGGAGACGCTGCAGGCAGGCAGGCAGGCAGGCAGGCGCGGGAACCACAGGCCAGGAGCCACGCACTCAGTTAGAGAAGCACCCTCCGGGCCCCTTCCGACAGGGAAACCTCGGTTACATATATCTGAGCCCCAGGTGGCCCTGGGTGCTGGCCCCAGCTGGTTTACTTTTTCACAGCAGGTGGCCGTTAGCCCCAAAATCAAGCCCACCGGCACCAAATTCAAATTTGTACACACCTAACGGCTTTAAAAATAGCCCAAGGAGGCCGATTCTTAGCCACTTAGAGCCTGCCCGCTTTGCATACCCTGTGAAAACTGCACCCAACATCTGCTGGGTAGATCAGACGTGTTACTGCTGGTTACCATTGAGTCAACTCTGACTCATGGCGACCCCGTGTGGGCAGGGCTGAGCTGTGCCCCATCGGCTTTCCAATGCTGTGACCTTTTCGGAAGATCCCAAGGCCTTTCTTCTGAGGCACCTCTGGGTGGGTTTGAACCACCAACTTTTCAGCTAGTAGTCGAGCGCCTAACCGTTTGTGCCACCAGGGATCTAGAGCAGACAGAACCTTGTAGTTATGAGGACCCCAGGGTGCTGCTGCCCTCCAGAGCTCTGTGACGCAGAGACCCCCCCACCTTACTGCTGAGGGACATCACCTAGACACGGAAGCCCTCCCTGGACCTGACAAAGCGCTCAGTGTGCAACACTGCCCCCTTGTGGTCATGTCTATTTCCTCAGTCTCCACCCACATCCCTGGACCTCACCATGCCTCCCGGCCCCGGCCCCAGCGCCCTGCGCCCACCTTCACCCTGCGCCCACCTTCGGCGGCTGAGGCGGAGCCCTGGGAGGCCGACGCCGCCTGCGTCTGCTCGTAGATGGAGAGCAGGGCCTCATCCTCCACGGCAAAGTACACGGGGACGATGGTCTCCATGGCCAGCATTTCGGGCTCGATCTCCATGAATTGCTGCGGGACAGCCAGTGTCAGAGGGCTTCCGCCCCGGCATCATGTCGCTGAGTCGGAGAGCCCCTGTGTACTGGCCCCGGCAGGTTACTTCTTCACCACAAGCTGAGTGCGGCCCACTGGCCCCAAACGCCCACATGCCAAACTCAAATTCATATACACCCAATTGTTTTAAAAACAGCCCCAACAAGCAAACGGCTAGCCACTCAGAGCCTGCCTGCTTCACGTACCCCGGGACGCTGCACCCGACCCGTGCTACAACTTTGCGGTTGCTCTCGGCTGCTGTCAGGTCGGCTCATGGCGACCTCGTGCACAACGGGATCGGACCGTTGTGATCTACAGGGTTTTCGTTGGCTGATTTGGGAGGTTGATCCCCAGGCCTTTCTTCCTAGTCCATCTTAGTCCGGAGGCTCCGCTGAAACCTGTTCAGCATCCCAGCACCAGGCACGCCTCCACAGACAGATGGGTGGTGGCCGGCGCGTGAGGTACACTGGCCGGGAACCACACTTATGAAACCCTGGTGCTGTAAGGACTCCAGCGTGCTGCTGCGTTTGGAGCGCTGGGGCCCCGACCCCCCATGGCCCTGCGGGAGGACATGGTGAGGGCTCCCTTCTCCCCCTCCCCTTGCCTCTGGCCGACTTCCTGCTCCAGGGGACCACCCCCACGTGGGGCTGTCACTGCGGCCGCCCCATAGCTTGTTGTGCAATGCCGCTGTCTCGGGGTTCTTTCTTTCTCCTCCACCAGCCTCCAGTTCCCCCAACCTCACTACAGGGGACCAGCAGGGGCAGGTGACGGGGCCCTAATGGCCGACCCATGGGGCGCTGAGTTGAGCGTGAGGGACGAGGGGGACCTGAGGGCCAGGAGGTGGGAGGGGCTGCCTCACAAGGCATGGATCACGTAGGCGACAAGGACACGGCGCAGGGCCAGATGCAGGGGACCAGGGGACGGGCAAGGTCTGTGGAGACCGTTCAGAGTCCCTCTGGTGGACGGTCAGCATTTGGATCCTGGGTTCACTGGGGCCACCCCGCTGGCACTCAGCTTCTTCAGCTATAAACTGGGTGATCAATGTGGGCTTCCTTGGCTAATGGCAGAAGCAGCCCAGCACAGAGCCAGCCTCAGCACCTTCAGCCACGGTATCTTCCTGGCATCTATCAGATCCCCGTGAGTTAGAGGAGGAAACTCCGGGAGCCTGGAGGACCAATCTGCTTTACGCTGTCTGATCCAGTGGGAATCTATCCTGGCATATAGTGTGATGTAGGAATCAAACTCACCCCCTTCCCCCCTACAAATAATTAACTCAAGGTCTCGCCACTCGGCACTGCTGACGCGGGGGCTGCCTCCTTCTCTGGGGTGGGGCGTCCTGTGCACTGTAGGGTGTAGAGCAGCATCCCTGGCCTCCACCCACTCGATGCCAGTAGTACCTTCTCCCTAGCGGTGACACCTACAAATGCCCCCAGACATCACCCAGTGTCCCCTGGGGGAAGAATCACACCAGATGTGGGCAAATGATCAAAGGGAACAACCACCATCTCTGCTTTCTAAAAGTGGAAAGGTTCAGAGAGGGGAGGTAAATTGCCCGAGGTCACACAGCTGACTCCACAGAAGCTCCTAGAATTGAGCCAAGGGGAGGCTGTGCGGGCAAGAGAAGGGCCTGGGAGAGGAGGCAGGAGGCGGGGAGAGCAGGGGCTGGGGAAAGAGAAGGGGCTGGGAGAGGGAGGAGGCGGGGAGAGGAGAGGGGTGGGGGGAAATCGGGGCTCACCCGGATGACATCCTGCGGCACAGCGGCCATGGCAGGCGGCAGGATGATGACCACGGCGCCGGCCGACTGGCGCAGCGCCTTCTGGTACTGCTCGTAGGAGAAGTCCACCAGGCGCATCATGACGCAGCGGCGGCTCAGCACGTCCGCGTCCATGGTGCGCGCCTCTGTGTTGAGCACCGCGTTCCGAGTGCCTGCAGGGACAGGAGGGGGACCCTCAGCGGGTTCCAGGCCACATGGGGAGGGAGCAGCATCCAGCCCCTCGCCGCCCTGGACCTACACGCCTGCCTTCGCTAGGCACTGGGGTCCGTCTGAGAGATGGCAGCTCGGGATCCTCCCCACTCTGTCCCAGTGTAGCTGGTGACGGGGACCATGGGTGTACGTGGCTCAGGTCCATCGGCAGCCAACACACCCCGCTGCCTAGGGGCTTGGTGTTGTTAGGTGCCGGGGAGTCGATTCCGACTCACACTGACCCCGTGTGACAGAGGAGAACTGCCTGATAGGGTTTCCTAGGCTGTAATCCTTAGGGGAGCAGATCGCCAGGTCTTTCTCCTGCAGAGCTCCCGGGTGGGTTCACACTGCCAGCCTTTCCGATAGCAGCAGAGCACTTAACCACTGCGCCACCAGGGCTCCTTCCCACAGGCTGAGCGCTCACTTTACACCAAGGCTCTCACCCTCAGCGGAGCGACAGGATCTCTTGAGAATCCAACGAAAGCCACAACCCTTCTCCCTGCCCCCACACTCTGCTGGTAATTCTAGGTCAGGGGCCAGCAACGGTTTTCTAGAAAGGGCCAGAGAGTCAATCCTGCCAGTCTTGCAGACCACACTGTCTCTGTCTGTCCCTGTAGTGTGAAAGCAGCTGACAATACTGAAACGGATGGGCGTGACTGTGTGCCAGTAAAACTTTATTTATAAAAACAGGCATTGGGCCATCTACCCCGACCCAGGTCATGCCCAGGGCTATGTGATCATCCTTCCACAGCAAACAACACCCTCAGGAAAGAACTCAAACTCCTCCCCTTGCCCGCCTCAGCCATGAGCCTCCTGGCCCTGCCCCCAGCCTCGCCTTGCCTGCTCTGTCCCCCTCTGCCGGGCACTCTCCCTGTGGCTCTCTCATGCTGGGCATACCCCCTTCAGATCTCAGGAGGCCTCTCTGGCCACCCAGTCTCTCTAGCACCCATCGTCTGCTCCCTTCACAGGCCTGGGTGCCTTCTAGAATTGTTCACTTGTTATCAGCAGGCGTTCAGCGGACCTGTCTCGGGTGGGGCTGTAGCCTCAGCATGGAGCACACCCTACTTCTGAAAATCAGCCAAGGAGCCCCGCGCACCTCAAAGGTTCAACGTGCAACCGATCCCGGGGATGGCGCGGGACGGGGCAGCGCTTCACTCTGCTGTATGCAGGGTCACCATGAGTTGGGGCTGACCTGATGGCAGCTAACAACGCGCCGTGAATCCAAAATGCTTCAACACTGTGCACACCAACCCAAGAACACACAAAGCCTCCCTAACACGTGTGCAGCTGGGTTCGGCCCCCAGGGCCTCCAGTCTGAGACCTAGGCAGGAAGCGCTCAGAAACACTGACGCCCCGCCAGAGCCGGCCACGAGGTCCTCGAGGTCGGTCACTTGCACTCAGAGGCAGATCTTCCTGAGGTCTCTGCACCACTTCCTTGGGGCCAGGAGTACAGCCCATGTGTGCTCTCCGGGAACACATGGAGAGGTGGGCGGATGTGAGAAGAACCGCCCGGCTCGCGTTGGGGTGCAGGTAGGACACCGAGGGGACACCTGTCCCATGTAGGGCAGGAGGGTGGCCTCAGGAGCGCCTCAAGGAGGCAGTGGCGGTGGACCGGCCACCGAGGCCTCTGACCAGGGAGCAAGAGCAGGCCATCCGCCCCAGCCAGGGGCTCCTGCCTCGGCCCCCCACCCCCTAGAGCCAGCTCAGGCCCTTCCCAAGGCCTGCGCTCTGCCTCAGGCTGGGCAGGGAGCCCCAGGAGAGAAAGCAGGGAGAGAGCTCGGCAAAGACCTTGGGGAGGTCCTTGGAGCCTTAGGATGCCGGGAGTGCCCCTCCCCCTTGCGCCACCTGTCCCGACGAGCCTGAGCCCTCAGCATCCTCTCCTGGGGGAGCTCTGCCCCAGGGGCCCGTGCACTGTCCGGTCCGGCCTCATGACCCTGCAGGAAGCCACGGAGCCCAGGGAGGAGGAGGTGACTAGCGGTACAGCAAGGCGGGGCAGGGATGGCTGCTGGGCCTGGGCTCCCTGTCGTCCCGGGTGCCCCGTTAGGATGAAGTGCCTGTCAGCTCCAGCAGGCGCCCGGGGCTTTGTGGACATGCCCCCACTGAGCCTCGTGGTTCGCAGACGGGAAACTGAGGCCCAGAGGCAGGAGGGGACCCACCCAGAGCTCAGGCTCCTCCTCTGGCCCTCGACCTGCCAGGGAAGTAAAACCGGAGGGGCCTCCCTCACACCCATGTCTGGACAAGCACAAGGCAGGGCGTGGTGGACGGTCACAAAGACAGGCGCTGGGCACTTGGACAGAAAGAAGAGTCTAGTTCCCCAAACGGGAACAGAGTTGGCAAACCTGTCTCTATCAGGGGCCAGATGGTCATTATTTTCACCTTTACTGACCACACGCCGCTGTTACAACGTTCAACTTAGACGCTGCAGGGCGAAGCAGTCACAGACCATACACCAACAAATGGGGCGTGGCTGTGTGCCAATAAAACTTTACTGACAAACACAGGTAAGGGGCCAGATTTGGCTCACTGGCTGTCGTTTGTTGAACTCTGCCAGATTAAGTCTGCCTGGCAGGGCTCCTTGGAGCCGGGCCTCCTGAGGGGTGCTATTCCCACTGCAGAGGGTCCTTGTGGGGATTAAATGAGATGGGGCAGAGGGAAGCGATAAGCACGGTCTGGCCCAGTGTAAGTGTTCAACACTTTGTCGCTGTTGTTAGCTGCCATCCAGCTGGCTATAACTCATGGCGACCCCGTGTACAACAGAACACAGCGCTGCCTGGTCCTGCGCCATCCCCGTGATCACTTGCAGATCAGACCCTTGTGATCCATAGAGTTTTCACTGGCTGATTTTTGGAAGTCTGTTGCCAGGCCTTTCTTCCTAGTCCCTCTTAGTCTGGAAGCTCTGGTGAAACCTGTTCAGCATCCTAGCAACATGCAAACCTCCCCTGACAGATGGGTGGTGGCCGCCATGAGATGCATTGGCCAGGGCTTAAACCCGGGTCTCCTGCATGGAAAGCAGAATTCTACCACTGGGCCACCGCTGCGCTCCAACAAACAACACCTGTGCTTATCACCACGGACAGACTCACACCGGGCAGCACTTAGGGAAGGAGGGCCAGAGTCCGTCGGCAGGGAGGAGCCTTGGATTGCCGGTGGCCCTGAACCTGGCCAAAGGCCCTGAGGCTTAGCTCACACCTAAGCACAAACAGCACACAGCTTGCCCTCCACCAACAAACAGCCAGGCCCTGCCTTTCTCCACAGCCGCAGGAGAGGAAGTGGGGAAGGAAGAGTGAACCCAGGGCAGCTGCACAGGAGAGAGCTCTTAGATCAGGAAGGAGCGTGCAATCAGGAGTGACTGGGCAGGGCGGAGCTGCTCCACTGTC